CTGTAAACACTCAGTGTACTAAAACACTGCCTTCCAAAAAAGCATAACCGCACCTGGGTACCTTGTTTCGCTATACTTTGGCGATGTGTGTGTTAATATAATTATGCAATCAAATCACTAACAATAATTCTTCCTAGGGAACTGCAGCAGATGCCGCAAGGCCCCTCTGGGCTCACCGCGGTGGAACATGGCCAACGCCACTCTCGGCATCTTTTTGAGGGGGCAGCTTGCCCTGGCTGGAGTTGGGTCTGCCAGCATGGCCAGCCAGAAGTGCGGGAGAAATAACCTGCTCTTCTGGCCTCCAGCAGTTCTCAGTTGGTGACAGATAGAAGTTGGTATTTCCCCCAATTCATCACCCCTCAGGTGGGAAAATTCTGAGGGACATGTTCTGTGTGGCCCCCAGAAGTCCCCCACAGCACTGAGCACTGTTGCCCACAGAGGTGACCTGCCCGACAGCTCTTTTTACTGGCTTTCTTCCCTTCCGTGCTTCACATCCCCACTCCTCTACAGGTGCTCCTGGGATCACCTACCAAATAAACCTCCTGCATTCAAATCTTTGCCTCAGCGTCTGCTTCTGCAAGAATCCTAACTAAAACATGGGCACATCGCCAAGTGTCAACAAAGGCCCTTGGAAATCCAGGCGATACTTGTATCAGAAGCAGTCTCTCTTACCCCATAAAGTAATTTAGCCTCGCAGTAAACTCAGAGGGTTTTTTTTTTTTTTTTTTGAGGAAGATTAGCCCTGAGCTAACATCTGCCACCAATCCTCCTCTTTCTGCTGAGGAAGACTGGCCCTGAGCTCACATCTGTGCCCATCTTCCTCTACTTTATATGTGGGACGCCTACCACAGCATGGCTTGCCATGCAGTGCTATGTCTGCACCCGGGATCCGAACTGGTGAACCCTGGGCCACCGAAGTGGAATGTGCACACTTAACTGCTGCGCTACCCGGCCGGCCCCTCAGAGGAGTTTTTTACTCACTCATCCTGTACCTCGTGGGAGGAAAGGTGACTGGAGGCAAACTTAGTGGATGCTTTATTACTTCTTTCACTTAGTTTGGACTCTTTAAGGCAGAGACAGAGTGTGACATCTAAGGTTGCGGGTGGGGATTGGGTACAACCTGGCATGGGAATGGTGCCATTCTCCACATCACGAAGTTCCTTGTTTGTTGGTGTGTAGCTTCTTGTTACAGAAAATCTCAAACATATATAAAAGTAGAGAGAATAGAATAATGAACTTCTATGGACCCATCACCAGGTTTGACAACTATCAACTCATGGCCAGTATTATTTAAACTATACTCCCAGCTACCTCTCCTCACTCCACCCCAAATTATTTTAAAGCAAAACACAGATATATCATTTCACCTGTAATGTTCGATATCTCTAAAACATAAGGACTCTTTTTTATAAGCACAAGCATAATACCATTAGCACATCTAAAAAACTAATAATTCCTTAATATCACCAAATCTTCAATGTTCAAATATCCCCAACTGTCTCATTATTATTATTTATAGTTTATTATTATTGCTATTCATAACTGTAATCTATTTGCTAGTTTACAATTTGAATTGTCATTTAAATAAGGTCTACATCTTTTGATTGGTTACATGTCTCTTAAGTCTTTTTTAATTGGTAGGTTCCCCTCCATCTCTTTTTCTCTTTCCTTGCAATTTATTTGTTGAAGAAATCAGGTGATTTCTTCCTATATAGCTTCCTGAGATCTGGATTTTACTCATTACATCATTGTGGTTTCATTTAACTTGTTCTCCTGTTTCCCCTATTTTCTGTAAAGTAGTAGTCAGATGAGATCTGATTAGATTTGGGTTCAGTTTTGTTCTGAGGCTCGTTCATATGTGGTATAGGGGACTTCCATCGGGAGGTATATCAGTCTGGTTTTTGTTTTCTAGTTTCTATCTTGATGAAAAAGCTGTGATGTTCACATTGTCTTGGGACAAACAGAATTGTGACTTAGCTTTGGTAACTTATGTGGCTGATTTCCTGGGCTCTTCTGCAGTGTGTGCTAGCCTCTCCCTGCCAGTTACAATGTTTTCCTTCTGGGATGCTGGGCTCTGGGTCAAAGGCAGAGCAATGGTCTTAATGTGAGAGGGGCTGGTGAAGGTGGGGCACAATCTGTCTCCATTCCTCCGACCTACCCTGGCTCAAGCTGTGGACACAGGAAGACCTCCTAGGGCAGGGCTCAGCTGGGTAACCATGGATAAGCAGCTTAACTTCTTTGAGTCTCAGTTCTCTCAACTGTAAACTGTGATAAACAATAATCTCTCCCAAATACGGTTTATAGTGGACCTTTTTTATCTTGTGGTCCCCCAGTATCTTTTGAAAATCCATCCTATGTATGCCAAGACAATTTCCCATTGGAGGGGAGTTCTGCTTGCCCAAGGTAGAAGATTAGCCTCCTATGTGGCTAGGGCACAGTATGTGGTCCAGGCTTGTCCACTCAGATGCAGCTGACTTTGATTCAGAAGAGAGCCATATGAGAAAGAGGATGCTGCAGAGAGTGGCAGAGACATGGAGCTTTGGGGGGTAGTGGGAGCAAAGGTCCTCAGAGTAGAGACCCCTCTCCCTTCAGTGAGCCGCAATGCCCATTGGTGGCGAAAAGCAAGCTGATAGCAGTCCTGGAGTAAAATCGGGACATTGTTCCTGGCTATGGAGCCTCTGAGCACAATTCCCTATCCCTCTCAGAGGCTGTGTGAGCTATTTATGTCTTTAAATACATTCCTTTGCTGCTTAAACCAGTTAGAATAGATTCTGTTATTTGCAGCGAAGTTCCCTGACAATTATGGGGATCCCATGATGTAGCTAAATGTGGTGTCTGATAGTAGGAGGGGATCAGTCCAACTATACCTGTAGCCTCTGGCCTTCCAGGTAGATGAGCTAATTCACACGTGTCATTATTGTTTATGCTACTTCAAGTTGGGTTTTCTGTTCTTCATGTTGAAAAGCATCCAGATAGATTTCTGTGCAGCTGCAGTGCCTGGTTGCACCTAGATATGCTCAACACATGTTCATTCAGAATCGCCTTTTAAAAGTTACAACATAATGTACATACAATAGACCCTACCTATTTAAAGTGCATATGATATACGTAAACACCCATGAAACCATCACTTCAATTAAGATAAGGAACCCACCCATCACACCTAAAATTTTCTTTGTGCTCATTCATAATCTCTCCTGCTTTGCCTTCACCCTGGCCCCAGGCAACCCCTGATTCCCTTTCCATCACTTTCTAGAATTTTACATAAATGAAATCAAACAGAATGTGCTCCTTATGGTCTTTCTCTCAGCATAATTATTTCGAGAGTCATCCATGTTGTGTGAATCAATGGTTTATTCCTTTTAATTGCTGAGTAGCATTCCACTGTATGGAGACAGCACAATTTGTTTACCCCTTCATCTGTTGGTGGATATTTGGGTTGCTTCCCGTTTGGGATTGTTACCAGTAAAGCTCCTACGAACATTCGTGTAAAGTCTTTCTGTGGATACATGTTTTCATTTTCTCGGTAAAAGGAGAGAATGGCTGGGTTGTGTGGGAGGTGTTCAACTTTTCAAAGAAACTGCCAGACTGCTTTCCAAAGTATCTGCCATTTTGCATTCCCACCAGCAGCGTGGGAAATTTCCACTTGCTCCACATCTTTGCCAATGCTTGGTATGGTCAGCTTTTAAAAGTTTTTAGCCATTCTAGGAGTACATCATTATGATATTACTTTACATTTTCCTAATGAGTAATGATGTTGAATATCTTTTTCAAATGTTTATTTTGTATCCATAAATCTTCTTTGATGAAATATCTGTTCAAATCTTTTGCCCACTTGGGGACCAGCCCGGTGGTGCAGTGGTTAAGTGCGTACATTCTGCTTCTCAGTGGCCCGGGGTTCACGGGTTCGGATCCCAGGTGTGGACATGGCACTGATTGGCAAAAGCCATGCTGTGGTAGGCGCCCCACAAATAAAGTAGAGGAAGATGAACATGGATGCTAACTCAGGGCCAGTCTTCCTCAGCAAAAAGAGGAGGAGTAGTTAGCTCAGGACTAATCTTCCTCAAAAAAAAAAAATTATGTTATTTGTCTTATTGAGTTGTAAAAGTTCTTCATATGTTCTGGTTATGAGCCCTTTGTTGGACATACATTTTGCAAATACTTTCTCACCTTTTTATTTTTGTTATAGTGTTTTTTGGAAGAACAAAGTTTTTATTTTGACAAGTCCAATTTATCTATTTTTTCTTTTACAGTTTGTATTTTTTGTGTCATATTTAAAAAATCTTTGCCTAACCCAAGGTCATTATTTTCCCATAAGTTTTATTTTAGAAGTTTTGTAGTTTTAGCTCTTACATTTTTCAGGCTTATGATCCATTTTGAGTTAATTTTGGTATATGGTGTGAGGTAAAGGTCAAGGTTCATTTATCACAGCAATGATTTATTGTGCACAATTTTTTTAACCTTGCTCCCCAGTTTTATTGAGATATAATTGATATATAGCATTGTATTAGTTTAAGGTGTACAACATAATGATTTGATATATGTATATATTACAAAATGATTACCACAATAAGTTTACTTAACATCCATCACCATACATAGCTACAAATTTTTTTCCTTGTGATGAGAACTTTTAAGATTTGCTCTCGGGGGGTGGAACCTGGTGGCGCAGTGGTTAAGTTTGCACATTCTGCTTTGGCGGCCCGGGGTTCGCCAGTTCAGATCCCTGGTGCAGACATGGCACCGCTTGGCAGGCCATGCTGTGGTAGGCGCCCCACATTTAAAGTAGAGGAAGATGGGCATGGATGTTAGCTCAGGGCCAGTCTTCCTCAGCAAAAAGAGGAGGATTGGTGGCAGATGTTAGCTCAGGGCTAATCTTCCTCAAAAAAAAAAAAAAGAAGATTTACTCTCGGGGCCAGCCCGGTGGCCAAGAGGTTAAGTTCGCGCACTCCGCTCCGGCCAGTTTGGATCCTGGGCGCAGTAGCACAACCAGAGGCACTCACAACTAGAATCCACAACTATGTATTAGGGAGCTTTGGGGAGAAGAAGAAAAAAAAAAGATTTACTCTTAGTAACTTTCAGTTACTAAGTAACTAGTAACAATCCAGTATTGTTAACTAGTCACTCTGCTGTACACTAATCCTCAGAACTTATAACTAGAAGTTTGTACCTTTGACCACCTTTACCCACCGCCCCCCATGCATTATTCATTATTTGGGTCATCTCATTTAGTCCTGACAACAATCCTTTGAAGTAGGTATTATCATGCCCATTTTACAGTGGAAGGAACAGAGGCTCAGAGAGTGTGAGTACTTTGCTGAAAGCCTCTCCTCTAAGCTGCTTTGATAGAAATTTGCAGTTCTCCCTACTAGATTAATTTCCATCATCTTGCTATTATTAAAAATGTGAATAGAATTGTGTCTCCATTAGGATTCTTTGGTTGCAAACAACCAGAATCCCCCAACACCTAACACTACTACCTAGGCTTAAGCATTCAGTCCCCTGACTCCAAGAGGTAGGCTGTCTTCCCGCGCTAAATCAGGGCTTAGTGCCGTCCCTAGGCCTTGGCACATATCTATCTCTCTCTGCTTGGCTCTGCTCCCCTTTCATTGGCTTCCTTCTCAGGCTTCAGGTAGAGGCTAAGTGATGGCAGCAACTTTCAGAGTCAAGGCCCACCAAGAGGATTACTTGCTTGATTTGGACCCTTGGCTTCTGAGGGCACACTCAGGAGGCATGTGGGACAAACCTTTCTGGAATGAACCAGAGGGCTACTTCTTCAAGTCTGTCCACTGACCACCTGCGTCAGAGCCACCTGGGGGCACCTGGTAACATGCAACCTTCTGCGCCCACGCCCCTCTTCTTGCAGGTGGACTGTGAGGCCCGAAGAAGGGGAGTGACCTCGTCAGGGAGTGAGTGCTGATCTAGGACAGAAGCCCGAGTCCTCTGATTTCAAAACCCAGGGAGGAAAGGACAGAGAATGAGGGCAGGAAATGCGTCCAGCTTTGACTCCTCCGATTCCCATATATTTTCCCTTTAATTCTCATCATTAGGAGAAAAATCCAGTACCGACCCGGCAGGAGCCTTTGGAGGGAGGTGGCTTCCTGCTAATCGGGCCTCAGTGTGCTCTGAGAGCTCGGATTGCTGCCTCTCACCTCCCAGGGAGGCTCAGTGTAGCGGGCATCTCAGGTCTCCAGCCTCCGCACAGACGTCCTCTGTTAAAGGAGGAGGCCTGGCAGGGGAAGGAGCTGGGTGGGTCAAGCTGTAGCCTGGTGTGAGAGCTGCCTCCTTTGAATGGGCACTGGGAGGCGGGGAGGAGAGTCCAGGCAGATGAGTAAGCGAAGCAGAGCTTGATCCAGAAGGGAGGGAGCCAGAGGGAGCCAGGACCTCAGTCAGAGAAGAGGTATGCACCTTCCCTCTGCACCACAGAACCTGTTCCACTGCTGTTTTTAGCTCCTCCTCTGGGCCAGGAAAGAACCTCAGGGCAGAAGCAGGTGGGCAAAGAGGTGATGAGAAGAGAGGCAGACAGGTGATGGGATGGGTCTGGGGAGGGGCGGGATGTGGCCCGCGGCTCTGCATCTATTTAATATGCTCATCACCTTCTCTCATGCAGTACTGTGGTAGAAAAGTTACCTGCTTTTAAAATTATTTTATACACACTCATATACATTATGTATATATGAAATATGTATTTCATAATATTTTGGTTAATTTGATAATATTTCACAAAATTCAAAAGGAACAAAAAAGTAAGTGTCCCTCCCACTGCTATCTTTGGTCTCCCAGCACCCCACCCTAGGACGCCATTGTTGAATGTTTCTTTCTTTTTTATATTTCCGGAAGTATTCTACACATATCAAACATTCACATGTTTTTAAATCACAAGCTTTATACGCTGGACTCACTGTTTGGCATTTTGCTTTTGCGCACAATAAATCTCAATTAAGATCACTTAATTTAAGTACCTAGCTGCCTCATTCTTTTTAATAGTGCATTCTTTTTTAGTATAACATTTAATTGTATGGCTGGAGCATAATTTATTTAACTAGCCTCCTATTTAGGTTCCAAACTTTAACTGTGAAAACAATGGTTCAGTGAACAGCCTGGTGCCGATTAGATTGGTCTTTGTGCACCTTCACCGCGTGAATTCACTTTGTTGGTTTTTTGTTTTGCCCATCTGATAGGTGAAAATGGTATCTAGCAGTTTTAATTTACATTTCTTATATTATGAATGAGGCTGGGCATCTAGGGTAGAAACCCAGAGGAGGGTCGGTAACTGGAGTGGGGTCTGGCCCCTACCCTAGGCTGAGCCACTGTGTCTCCCACACCCTACCCAGTGATGAGAGGTGGCCGGCAGCCTGGGCCCCCGCCCTCCCTAGAGCTGTCTTCCCGCCCCCTCACCTGGGATGAGTAACAGTTTCTCCCCGGTGACTGAAGAGGCATGTTTTATTCAGGCACCCTGGTTTGTCCTGCTTTTCTGTCCCTGAGGGCTGGGACTTGGCCTCTGTTGCGAGACAGACGGATGTGCAGCAGGGAGTGGCAAGATGAGACCTGCTTTATTGGAAACAGAGCTCAGCTAGATGGGGAGCGGGGAGGAGGCCGCAGAAGTTCAGGTGACCGCTGATGAGTCTGAGCCAAGCGGTGGGGCCTGGTGACCCTGAGAGACAGCAGGGGTGGCCTTACGGGACTGCCTGGGTGAGGTAGAGGAGGGATAGGCAGACAGATGATGGGGGCGGGGTTAGGATGGAGGATGAGATATGGCTTGGAGGTTGCCTGTGGGATGGACAGAGGAAATGTTTGTTGGATGAATGTCCTCCCAGTGGCTGTAGGAATGGAGCGGTCACGTGTCCAGCCAAGGGATGGTTCAGTTGGCCAGTCTGGCCACAGCAGGTTAAACCACCTCTGGGGTGTGTCTTGCTCCTGGTTTTCTGCAATGACACAATCTGGTTCCCTGGAAGATAATTAATGTAGACCTAGCTTTACTCCTGGTTTACCACCTTGGTCTAGCTTCTTTTGTGGTGCTTCCTCCTGTCCCTCTGGCTTGGGGGAGGGTGGGTTAGGGAGTGGCCTGGTGGCCAGACCAGCAGAGCTGGAGGAGGAGCTGGTAAATTAGAGGTGGGGGGAGGGGACGACAGGGGCCCACTGAGCGCAGCCCCCATCCAGGCTTCTGGATGTGTTTGCTGCTGGCCTGAGAGCAGAAGGTGGTCAATCAGGCCTAGAGTCCATTGCCCTTGTTCTAGATCCTTCTACTTCTGCCCGTGTTTCAGCCAGTGGCTTTCACCTTGTCTCTCCCAGAGTTCTCAATTCCAAATGAAGACTTCTCTCAGCCGGCAACAAGAGAACCCATTATAAGCACCTAATCTCTCTGTTAGGGTTGGCAGATAAATTTGAGTTTCAGGTAATGAACAATTTTATTGCATGAGAAATACTTAGATACTAAAAAAAAAATCTGCTTATCTGAAATTCAAGTTTAACTGGGTATCCTTTTTTTTTTTTTATTTGCTAAATCTAGCAACCCTGCTAGTCCTCCCACTAGCCCTGGAAACTGCCGCCTCCTGACCCGTCACAGGCCCCGGTCCTGCAAAGCTGGTACGATCGGCGCCCTAAGGGAGCAGCAGGGCCTCCTCCCCCGTTTCAGAGGCGACCATGCTGAGGCTGGGAGAAGTGCAGTGCCTCGTCTGGGGTCAAACAGTGATCCGGGCGCAGAGGAGGAATCCTAGCCCTGACCGGTCCCGCTCCAAGTTCAAGGTCTCCGCGCTCACGCCCCTGGGCAAACCCCGGACCCCCCGCGCGGGCGGGGCTCGCGGGCGGTTTCCGCCCAGCGGATCGCGCCGGAGGAAAAGGCGAGCGCGAGCCTGCGGGCGCGGGGCAGGCAGCATTTGGGGCTAGAATATTCTAAGTGGTTTTGAAACCCAGCGCCTGTGAGTAATAATCCCAACCCTCGTCATTTGCATAGCTCTTTCCGGTTGACAAAGGGTGTCCCCAGCAGTGCATTAGAATCATAAAGAAAGCAGACAGGAGAGGGCTGGCCGGCGGGCCCCCGCGGGCACTGGGCCGCTTCCTGCGCGCTCCTCGCGCTGACCCTGAGCCGCTTCCCGGGCCCCGGGCTTAGAGACCGGGACCCCCAGGCTGGGGACGCGCATCGGGGGTCGGGCGTGCGCTCCGGGCCCGGTGCGGGTCCCAGCTCTGCCGCCGCCCGCGCGGGGTGCGAGCGTGTGAGTGTGTGAGCGTGTGCGGTCCCTGCCACTTCCCCGGCCCGTGCTTCAGGCCGCGGGGACCTGTCTGTGCGCCCGGCGACCGGCCGAAAGGTGGCTGGGCCGGACTTGGATGTGGGGACCTGAGAGCCCGGCCCGGAGGTGAGGTAGGGACGGCTGGCGGGAACGGTGGGCACCCCTCTGGGCCTGGGGGTGGGGGTGGGAAGACGTTGGGGGAAAATCTGGTCAAAACGAGACTTATGTAAATCAAACCTTGTTTTCCCCTTGACTCACAGGATTCTTTCGGATCCTTTACCTCAAGTTCTCACCTGCAGTTGGCAGAGGCGGCGAAATACTTGAGTTTTGAGTTTTTCTTCTCCTTTTTACGTGTCCTGTGCGGCGGGGGGTGGGGATGCGCTTTGGGCCACCAGGGTTTTCAGGCTGCCCGGGAACTCTTAAAGGAACATTAGGGGATCTTTCTGAAAAGCTAAAAACAAACAAACGCGTTTGAAAATAAAGTCCTGTGGATAATCTCCCCACACAATTTCTGTTTGGCCAACTTGAGTTTTTTTCTTTCTCGGTTTTCTCCTCTAATCAGCTGTGTGGAAAAGAGTAGTGGTGTTAAAGCTGATGAGGAAAGAGGGCCTGAGAAGGCACACTGATGAGACCACAAGTTACGGTTTTATCACATATCTGCTGCAAAGGGAGATGCTTGGGAAAAATCCAGCTGAAAGATTCCCTCTGGGAGAAACATTTGATATGAAAAAAATTATTAGATAATCATCATCAAACTGGATTTTAAAAGTCTGGGTAGACATCATTAGCCTGTTTGCCAGCTGGAAGGCTGGCTGTGTGTGGAGCTCTAACTTCCGGAGAAGGTCTTCATCTCAATCAAAGCTATGTAACACTACTCAAGTATTTTTTAATCAGGAATGCTAATTATTGAAGGGTCAAGGATTTGCATCAGGCAAAAAAGTTCTGCCCCAGATGAGGTGAGGGACAACTGGCACTGTAAGGTCCCAATCCAGGCAGGCCCCAGCCCTCTGGTCTCATCTATAAAAGGCGCCTGGAGGACGTGGAGTGGCTGGACCACTGGTGTAGTGTGGTGGGCAGTGGACATAGGGACAACCAGCCTGGAAAGCATTTGGGCAGTTTCTACAAAGCTATGCCTAGCCCCCTCTGTAGCCCGGCAACCTCATAGGTCCATCAAAAGACATGAGCAGAGGCCGCCTTGTGACCCAGTGGTTGGGTTCCCATGCTCCGCTTTGGCAGCCCAGGTTCACCAGTTCAGATCCTGGGTGTGGACCTACACACCACTCATCAAGCCATGCTGTGGCAGCGTCCCACATAGAAGAACTAGAATGTCCTACAACTAGGATATACAACTGTGTACTGGGGCTTTGGGGGCGGGAGGAAAGAAGGAGATTGACAACAATTGATGTTAGCTCAGGGCCAATCTTCCTCAAAAAATAAAGAAAAAGAGACATGAGCAGCATGCATCCCCAACCCCCTTGGGCACCCCCAGCCCACCCATGCCCTCACCACCTGATGCTACATGGCACACCAGCTCCTGCAGGGGCCCCCTCAGCCCCAGTGGGGAGCAATTTTTCTTTCATTTCGGTTCCCAGCGCCCCCTCCTCCCCACCCACCCACTCACCCTCCTAGAGGAGCAGTAGACAGGAAGGGTGAGAGAGAAGGCAGTCCTTTCAGTGTCTGTGGACATCTGAATCCACAAGCCTCAGGCCTGGGAGCTGCCACCCAGCCTGGCTCAGCACTCCCCTTTGTTTCTGCAGCTTTCTTGCTGGTCCCACGGGCTTCTTCTCTTCTGGGCTGAGCCCCTTGAGTCTTTAGGAGCCCCACCAGCCCGCCGGACACACCCACACCTGTTTGGTTTGTGAGGCCCACCACACAGCAGCTCCTGGCCTCCTAGGGGCACTGTGAGGCCCCAGTGAGTGGGGTCAGCCCTTGAGTGGCCCCTGAGGGAGGACTGGGGTCAGCCCTTGAGTGGCCCCTGAGGGAGGAACTGGGACTAGTGACGTGGGACTTTCTCTCAGGTAGTGCTGTCTGTGGATGGGGTAAGTGGCTTCAGGAGGGAGCCTGCTAACAATTCCTTGGGAGTTTAAGAACAGGGGCCTGACCATTTCCAGAGATTCTGTGGAGAAAATTCAGCCACTAGTAAGGCCTGGAGTGTCCTCACCTGGGAATCTACTGTCCCACCTCCACAAGGTTGGAAACCTGTGGGGGGCATTTCCGGGGGTCACAATGACATGGGCTGCTACTAACATTTTGTGCCTACTAGAGTCTTGGCACCAGGCATACTAAACTCATGCGTGGGCTGGGAGTTGGTCCCATCAAGGAAGAATTACTCCTCCCGAATACCAGTAGTGACCCGCTGAGAAGCACTGTGTGTTGAACTGGATGACTTCTAGGGGACTTTTCAGTTGTAAGTCACTGTCATTTTAACATCCATTGTAGGGGTTGGCCTCGTGGCGGAGTGGTTAAGTTCCCGTGTTCCGCTTCGGCGGCCCAGGGTTTCGTCAGTTTGAATCCTGGGCGTGGACATGGCACCACTCATCAGGCCATGCTGAGGCAGCATCCCACATGCCACAACTAGAAGGACCCACAACTAAAAATACACAACTATATACCGGGGGGCTTTGGGGAGAAAAAAGGAAAAATAAAATCTTTAAAAAAAACAAACATCCATTGTAGGTGATATGTGGAATACTGGCAAAATAACCCCAAGAAAAGAGGATTCAAGGTCTGGGCACACATGGTTTAGACACACACAGTGTGTATGTATGTGCCTGTTTAAGCGCACACGGGTGTGCTCATTACCTACAGGCACACCTGAGTGTGCACAGGCACGGACAGGCACACTCAGGGTTGTACGTGGACTACAGGTGCATGTGAACACTCACAGGGACTCATGTACCTAGTTGCAAGTAATCCTCTGGGAGAACTCTGACTACCTAGTGGTGGATGTAGTGAGCTGGGCAGGGCAATGTGGGGAGAGAGGACAAGAGAGGGGAGGGAGTCCTGGGGACAAGGTGAGTGGAGAGGTCGGGCTTCATTTGGGGACCCTGGGAGGCTCAGTGGCCCCAGCTCCCTTTCTTGGAACTGAGCATTTCCGTGGTCAGCTAGAATCAAGCCTCTCCTTGGGGTTCTGCCCAGTAGCAAACATATTTGGAGTCAAGAAAATGCCATTTGTTCTGAGTGATGGAGTCAGCTGGTAGTTGGCAGGCACTGGTCTCTCGGGTTGATTTAGACACGTGTCCTTCTGCTGCCTCCACAAGCCTGTGTGCAGTGGGGCCCAGGGTGCGTGCAGGCAGAGGGCTGAAGGGCCTTTCTGCTGGTCCCGAGCACCCGTTCCTGAACAACTGGCTCTGCCCTCTGTGCTCCACCCCCACCGTGCCTCCTTCCTGCTGACAGCCTGTCCCCAGCCCCCTGGCTTTCTCTCACTCGCTTCCCTCCCTGACCAGGATTCCCACTCACCTGAGCATTTGGCTATAGCCCATGAACCTTCACCTGGCTCAGCCCACCCCCAGGAGCTGGTTTCTAGCTTTGTCTTGGGCCATATGTGGGACCCAGGCTGGACCAAGTTCTGGTGCCCTTAGGGACGGAGAAGGGGTTCAGAAGAGCAGAGGCAGAGAGAAGCCATTTGTAATTAATAGCTTAGGACCCAAGTGTGGGCATTGTTAGCCCACATGGGTACTTTTCTAAGAATCACATTTAAAAAATCACCACTTACAGTTCCATGTTCTGGTTCAACCTCAAGAACAGCCCCCAAACACACAGGTGTATTCATGCACGTACAGCTACACATGAGTGTGCATAGGCGTGGACAGGCACACATGGGTCTTGCATGCACTGCAGGTGCATGTGAACACTCAACAGATGCATCTCTTGTCTCCAGCAACTCGCTCTTTCAGCCTCAGTTTATCCCACTCTGACAGGCTGTATCTTCGTAGCCCTACCTGAAGGGCAGAGACTACCCAGAAGGAGGAGCAGGAGGAGAAGCGGGAGGAGGGGAGGCACGAGGTGTCTGCACTCCACTGGGAAGGCCCAGCCTCCGGAAGCAGCTCCCACCTTCCGCTTGGCGGACTTCTCCAGCAGGGAGTAGGGTGGTACCTGGAGCTGGCTCTTCCCAGCTTGTGAGAGCTGTTTGGGTGCATATCTTCCCAACTCTGAGTTGCGACGTGGGGAGATGTTGACAGTTTGGCCTCGGTGGGAGTATTACCACGGTAATTGGCAAATGCTCCAAGACTCCCACTCAGTGGGTGGTTAAACACTTCCCCCACGCCCCTCCAGAGCAGAATCACCTCCTTTCCCGGATTCCCGCCGAAGCTCTCAGCCTCACCCTAGTGTGCATGTCACGGGCAGGAGAAATACAGGGGGACGGGGAGGGGAGGGGGGAGTGAGGGTGGGAATAGGCACTTCTACACCTAGGGTGGGCTAGGTGGGTGGGCAAGGTGGGTGGGCTGGGTTCAGTGGAACGGGGGCCCCACCCTCTTGACCTTGATGCACCTTGTCACCCGGTTGTGACTGTTCCCTTTGCCTGGAAAGCCTTTGCCTTCTCTACTTATTATAATCTGATCTTCAAGTTCCAGCTGGATTTCTCCCCACTCTGGAAGGGTTCCTGGATGCCCCTGCAGGTAGTGGGACTGGGGTCTGGAGCCCAGCCAGGGCCATGACTGCCGCTTACTAGCTGTGTGACTTTGGGTGACTTCACTGTGCAGAGCCTTGAACCCTTTCTCTATAAAATGGGAGTACCGATGTTTACGTCAACACAGAGCATTGAGCAAGGCCACCTGTGGGACACACACAGCAGAGGGCTGGCACAAGACTCACACTTGATAAATGGCCATTGCTTTTCCCTGCTCCCGTCCAGCCCGTGGCAGATTGCAGGCACCCCCGATTTGCCTGAGTCACGGTGACTGTAAACGCACCAACGTGGCCAGATTGGCTGTCAGAGTGGCTTCTCAACGAGTCCAGCTTCATGCTGTTTACGAAAGAAACGCCTGAAACAAGGATATGGAAGGTTTTGAAAGTAGAAAATACTAACCAAAAGAAAGCTGGTGTACCTCTACAAATATCAGACAAAATATTATTTAAGACAAAAATATTTGTGAAGGAAAACAAGTGTCTACATCATGTTTATAGGAACAACCTAGCAAGATGAGACAATTCTCAAGCTGTGTTACCTAATAATATATCCTTAAAACATATAAAGCAAATATCAAAAAAGTAAAAAGACAGCCCATGGGAGGATGGGAGAAAAATTTTGCAAATCATGTAGCTGATAAGGGATTTGTGTCTAGAATATATCGAGAATGCTTACAACTTAAAAATAAAAAGGTAAAGAATCCAATATAAAAATGGGCAAAGGATTTGAGTAGGCATTTCTCCGAAGAAGTTATACAAATGACTAATAACCACATGAGGAGATGCTCAGCATCATTGGTCATGAAGGAAATGCCAGTCAGAGCCACAATGGGAGACTGCTTCACGCCCACCAGGATGGCTAGAATCAAAAGACGGATG